AAGAGGATATGGAATTTACTAAACACTTTGGGAAGTTTAGGTCTTTGTGGGCTGAATTTGAGATGCTCAGGCCGGCCACTTTAGACCCTACTGTTCTAAATGAAAGAAGGGTACAAGACAAGGTCTTTGCTCTTCTATTGACTCTAAACAACTCTTATGGAGACTTGATCAAGCACTTACTTAGGGGTAGCACCTTACCCACTTTAGATGAGGTATGTGCTGAACTTCAAAATGAACAAGGCTCAGACAAGTCATTTGGGAGCAACAAGGAGCTGGTAACTGCAAATAAGGGTGTGTACAAGGCTGAAGATAAAAAGGGCTTCCCTTACAAACTTGAGGAATGGAAGAACGTACTATGTGATCACTGTAAAAAGAAGGGTCATTCAAAGGATAAATGCTGGATTTTACACCCTCACCTCAAACCAAACAAGTTTAAGGATCCAAAGGCACATTACACTCAAGAGGAGATAGATGTGCAAGTTGGTGCCTCAAGCTCCAACAAACCTCTTGGAGACAATTACAAAACTCATGTGCCTTCCACAGATGATTTTGTGAGAAAGTCTGACCTTGATGCTCTTCTCAAGGCTCTTAAAGAGGCCTCTAAGTCTGGTAATGAATGTGATATTTCTTTAAGGGCTCAGAACATTACTCGATCTCTTGTAATTGATTCTGGAGCTTCTCATCATATGATTAGCAATCCTAACTTGATTGAGCATATTGAAGCTGCTTTAGGACAAGTAATAATTGCAAATGGTGATAGGATACCAATTAAGGGCATAGGGAATCTTAGACTCTTTGAAAAAGAATCCAAAGCTCTCTATATGCCTGCATTCACATCTAATTTACTATCTGTCAAAAGGATTACTGCTGACTTAAATTGCAATGTTATTTTTAGTCCTAATGGTGTGATTTTTCAGGATATTAACACTCATGAGACTCTTGGTGAGGGAGACACCAAGGATGGCTTGTATGTGCTTCAAGACATCAACACAAACTCCTCTCTATCTGCTGTTTTTTCTTCTGTTCTTGCTGAAGCTAATAGTGCTATTTGGCACGCTAGACTAGGACACCCTCACTCTCGTGCTTTAGCATTGTTGTTGCCTAATATTTCTTTTCAGTCTACTGAATGTGAGGCTTGTATTCTTGGTAAACATTGTCGAACTGTTTTTCCCAAGTCTTCTACTATCTATGAACATTGCTTTGATCTTATTCACTCTGATGTTTGGACCTCGCCATGTGAATCTAGAGAAAATCAGAAATACTTTGTCACATTCATAGATGAAAAATCAAAATATACTTGGTTAACTCTATTGCCTTCTAAAGATAGGGTGTTAGAAGCTTTTCTAAACTTTCAGAATTATGTTTCTAACCATTTCAATGCTAAAATTAAGATTTTTAGATCTGATAATGGTGGAGAATACACAAGTCATTCATTCAAACAACACCTAGCTAAACATGGGAGTATTCACCAAACAAGATGTCCACACACCCCACAACAAAATGGTGTGGCTGAAAGAAAGAATAAGCATCTCATGGAGGTTGCCAGGTCTATGATGTTCCACACCAATGTTCCAAAAAGGTTTTGGGCAGATGCTGTTGTTGCAGCTTGATATCTCATAAATAGGATTCCAACTAAAATCCTAGATGATGTTTCTCCCTTTGAGGTATTTAACAACACTAAACCATTCATTAATCACTTACGCGTGTTTGGATGTGTTTGTTTTGTTTTGATACCAGGAGCCCAAAGAAGCAAACTTGAAGCTAAAAGCGTCAAGGCAATGTTTATTGGTTACTCTACTACTCAAAAAGGGTACAAGTGTTATGTTCTAGCAACTAGGAGGGTTCTAGTCTCAAGAGATGTCAAGTTTATCGAAGGCAAAGGGTTCTATGATGAGAAGAACTGGGAAAACATCAAAGACTTATCTCACTCATCTTCAGATAGGGCCCAAAACCTCAAGAACTTGATGGAAAGCCTAGGACTCAATTTCCAACAGCATGGTACTCCTACTGCCCCTACTCATATTCAAGATGATCAAAAGATGGAAGAATCTCAAGAGGCTCCAATACATGCCGAGGATATCCACTTTGATCATGAGGAGGGCATAGAGACTGACTCTGAGGATGATCCTACTCAAACACCAGCTGAACATGAGAATCAAAGTCAGTCTGATCATGATCAAGGAGTAATTCTTGAAGAACAACCTGTGTTAAGAAGAAGCACAAGGATCAAGTATCCAAGCCATTGGAAGGATACAAGAGTTTACTACAACAACAAGGCAGTAGCCCACCCGATCCAGAACTTGTGTTCACTTGCTCAATTTCCCTTAGAACATCAAGTCTTTGTGGGAAAATTGGAAGTAGAGCAAATACCAAGGTCTTATGAAGAGGCTATGCAACACAAAGAACAGAGAGATGCTGTTAATGAAGAAAGAAAAGCCATGGAAGTGAACAAAACTTGGGATGAAACTGAGTTACCTAAAGGAAGAAAGGCTGTTGGTTCTAGATGGGTTTTTACTATCAAGTATAAAAGCAATGGGGAGGTAGAAAGATATAAGGCAAGGTTGGTTGCAAATGGATTCACTTAAACCTATGGGACTGACTATTTGGATACATTTGCACCAGTGGCTAAGCTTCATACGGTAAGAGTAATCCTATCTTTGGCTACTAACCTTGAATGGGATCTTTGGCAAATGGATGTAAAGAATGCATTCCTTCAAGGTGAGCTAGAAGATGAGGTCTACATGCCCCCACCTCCTGGTCTTGAAAATTCAGTGACTCAAGGCAATGTGTTGAAACTAAATAAAGCCATCTATGGACTCAAGCAATCTCCAAGAGCTTGGTATCACAGGCTGAGCTCAACACTTAAAACAAAAGGTTTTAATAGATCAGAGGCTGATCACACTCTCTTTACCCTTCAAAGTCCAAAAGGTATTGTTGTCATTCTCATTTATGTAGATGATATAATCATCTCTGGGAATGACAAGGTAGGAATTCAATCTACTAAAGAGTTTCTTAAGTCTCTTTTTGATATTAAGGATCTTGATGAACTAAATTACTTCCTTGGAATAGAAAATTGTAGATCCAATGAAGGATTATTCCTATCACAAAGAAAGTACATTCTTGATCTTTTTAGTGAAACAGGTAAGCTGGGATCAAAACCAGCAAAGACTCCTCTTGAAGATGGTTACAAAGTCATGAGAAAGGGGGAGATTGAAGCCAAGCCTTTTGAGAATGTTACACTCTATAGGAGGCAGTTGGTAAGTTGATCTATCTAACAATTACTAGGCCTGATATTTGTTTTGCTGTGAACCAGGTTAGCCAACACATGCAAGCACCAAAGATGCATCATTGGCGTATGGTTGAGCGCATACTTAGGTATCTTAAAGTATCTCCTGGTCAAGGCATATGGATGGGGTGCAACAAGAGCACCGAAATTGTTGGGTATTGTGATGCTGATTAGGCTGGAGATAGGAATGATAGAAGATCAACCACGGGCTATTGCACATTCATTGGAGGTAATTTAGTGACTTGGAAAAGCAAGAAGCAAAAGGTGGCAGTGGCGTAGCTAGGGGTGGGCCAGACCTGGCCCAGCCCAAATTTTAAAAATGTCTTAATTTTTACTGTAAAAAAATTGCGTGTAAATTTTTTTCAAAAATATTCTTTGTACCGGCTCAGTCTGGCCCAGTGTCCTAGCTCCGCCCCTGAAAGGTGGTGTCATGTTCAAGTGCTGAAGCTGAATATAGAGCAATGAGGAAGCTCACAAATGAGCTCATTTGGCTCAAAGGACTGGTCAAAGATTTAGGCAATGGATCAAAAGCTCCAATCAACATGCACTGTGATAACCAAGCAGCAATACACATCACGACCAATTCTGTGTTCCATGAAAGAACAAAGCACATAGAAGTGGATTGTCATAATGTCAGGCAAATGATAGAGCAAAGAGTGGTTCTGCCTTGTTTCACAAGAAGCTCAGGCCAATTGGCGGATATCTTCACCAAATCAGCAAGTTTAAAAGTGTGCGAGTTCATCCATTCAAAACTTGGTCTTATGAATCTATCTCAAGCTTAGTTATTCCCTAGGTCATGGATTCTATACTCTTTTTCCCTTAATGTGGTTTTGTCCCAAGTGGTTTTCCATTTTTAGGTTTTTAATGAGGTAGAATAGACATGGTTCCAAGCTTAGCTATTCCATTCTTACATAGTTAAGCTTGAAGGGGAGTATTAAGTTATAAGCCTAGGGAGTTTTTAGTCTTTTAACTCTCTAGGGTTCTTTTGGTCTACTGTTTTGATTTAAAAGCCTTTGTAATCGTTATGGTAGCAAAAAGAAACATTATTCTCTCTACTTTCTATTCTAAGAATGAATTCTTCATCTCTTCTTCTCAATCTAAGCATTCATAATCTTTAAATTCTAACATTTCATTCTAAAAGATCATTCTAATACCATGTTTAGCTTAAGGTCTTGAATAGTTTTTTATTGTTGTATAGTTTTCTGGTGTAGGACAAATAATTTGTTGAATTTCCACGCCGAATATTTGTGAATGAATTAAGTGCTATATTAAGATTTGAGTTATTCTTTTTATCAAGTATTCAAGTTGACCTTTTAGATAGAACTCTGGGTCTCAACCAGTGGCGGAGGCCGCGGAGCCACTATGATGCAAAAGTGTTCAATTGAACAACTAATATTTTGAAAAACATACTAGTATATATGTATAAATTTAATTTAATTATTTTTTGTCCTTTCAAATTTTAATTCTACAAAAAAATGAACACCCAATGACCCAAAACTTGAAACATAAATCCACCACTGGTCTCAACATAATTTGACAAACTCGAAGATCCTTCTATAATTCTATATATCGTATTCTTGTAAAATGTAATTACTCTGTGGAAGTTACTCATATGAATTGTATTTCGCGTAGTATATATGCATGCATTATAAACTACAACAAAATTAACAGTATTCCGTGTAAAACTAAAAGTACTTTTCTTTTACATTTCATTGCTTGATTTAAAAGGATCATTATTGGTAAAAGAAAAAAAGTCTACCGCCCTCCCCATACCTTCGCTCACAATTCTACTGTACTAAATTAAATCATAATGACATAAACTACTTCACAAGTCTCCCATGTGTAAGCAAAAACCGAATCCTTCAACTCTATATTCATTAATATTCAACCTCACCTTCTCTCTTCATTAATGAGAAGTATACTTTTACTCACTTTTCCCATTAGATTCAACCTATCAACTAACCTTCAAAGTTGATCAATCTTGATGAGAGTGAAAAAATAAGGCAAATTAAAACCTATATTTTCATTTTAGTGCTCACAAATATTGACTACTCCTCATTCCATTGATGCATGTTGAGGCTTCTAAGCATACTCTCCTTTAACATAATAATACTTGTTATTATTATGTCCTTGAAAGTTGTCTTTTCCATCCTTTGGCTATCACTTGCCCTCCTCTTTCTCCATGAATTCTATAGCTACAACAACAATAAGATTGGGGTAGCCCTTTCTTCATCAAATGGTCATAGAAAAACATTAGCTAGTCATTATGATTTTACCCCATTCGACCGCCGCCGCCAACAACATTCACCGGAGGTCCCCGGCGAGGCAAGAGGACGAGAGGTTGACCCGCGTTACGGCGTCGACAAACGCCTCGTCCCCTCCGGTCCAAATCCATTGCACAACTAGAGGCCTCCGCCGCCGCCGTGGAACTTCATGCGGCGACGAAGAAACGTAACGTACAAGCGATGTATGGATAGATATTCAGTATCATCGTTCATTCTATAATATGGTGAGTGGGTGCTAGCTAAGATTATTGATTAATGATTTGATTATTTATATGTATAGCACATTTTTCTCTATTTCCCATTTCGTTTGTATGCGATTAAATTAATACCTGACATATTTGCGGAGTATTGTGTTGCTTTATTATTTCATATTTTCATTTGGTCCATTGCCTATTCTTGGAAATTAAACCTTGTGATCGAGTGATGTAAATTTTATTCATGAAAACGTTATTCGTATTACTCTAATTAAAGCCTAAAAACAAACGATAATATGACTATGTTTGGCGGGCATAAGTTTCTACTATCTAGCTTTTGTAATATTTAAAAAGTTTTTAAAAACTTCTAGTTGTATGTTTGACATACCAAATTTTAAGTGTTTTTATAAAAATAACAGATTTTTTTGATATGCTACGGTGAGTAGCATCTCAGATAAGTCTGTAACTTCTAACATTAATTAGTCTCAATAGCTTGTATACCAAATAGAGCTAAATCAAACACTCATTTTTTTATTAAATAACTACTATTTTTTCTTTTAAGATCTTTTCAGTCAATAAAAGCTAACAGTTATTAAAAAACTCATAAAAATGTCTTTTTAGTTGGTTATGTCATTTTCAGTTGGTTATGTCAAACAGACCCTGTATCTTGTCAAGAATTGTGTGGGCGACAACTTGATTTTTCTCCATCAACATAATTTTAATATTTTGTCCCATAATTTTCTTCTCAATTAGTTCAAATGGATTTGTGTGGATGTACTTATAAGGAAAAAGATAAAAAGAACCAAGTAATTAATCACATAATTTTTTTCTCAAAATAACATCCCGTGACTTTTCAGGGAGCTGAGGATGGAATCCTTTATAGTACGTACGGTGCAGAGATTCAAGAGAGGCCGGGTATTTGATGGAATTGAAGTTCATACTGCGTATAATGTATTTGACTATTTGAGTGAGATGATCTGTAGATTATATAAATAGTGGCATGGAAAAGATGTTGCACTTTGTCAAAATGAAAACATGTGTATCAATCCTGTATATATAATCAAATATTGGCCTTATCTTATCATGCTGATTAATGCTCCGCGGCCGTATAATTGTTACATTTTGAAGTTGATATATCTGTTGCATTCTATCAATATGATATACGGAGAATACATTATTGTCGGATGTATATAGCGTGTATATTTCTCAGCTCAGGTCTCCAACTTTTATAGGCTGTACATACACCATCCAACAATCCAACAATATAATTACATAATAGAATGATGTCTAAATTGAATCATTCTTTTTATTATGTATCATGCAAATTAACATATATAACTGCTACACTAATAAAGTTGAAATGTTGAAATGTTGGTCTTTGTGTCAGAGTTGTTTCTATAGGGCTTGTTTAGTCTTATTAAGGGCTAGTATGGGTGGAGGATTTGGGAGGATAGGGAAGCGAAAATTGATTTTATAACAAATTATGTGAATTTGTTAGTTTTAGACTACAAATAACAATATAATTAGTTAAATCATTTATTAGTATACCGTATATACTACATACTGTTTTGTTCTCATTCTATTTTAATTTTTTTAAATGTAAAAATTATTTCAATTTGAATATGACCACTCTCCCTCCCTCTCCTCCGAAATCCCCTTACCAAACTGGCCCTATAAGAATAAAAAACATTAATTCTATTTTGAAAAGAAAAGAATGTCAGTCATATTTGAGAAAATTAAAATTCGTGTTTTGCTCCTGTTCAGAGAATTCTCATATACATACGTATTAGTAGTTTAGATATGAACTTAATATGGGTGACAAATGTACTGTATCCGTATATAAAAGAAAGGCTAAAGGGTCAAATAGACCCTCGAACTAACTTAAAAGATGCAATTCACCCCTTATATAGGAGGCTCTGTTCGGCCGTTGCCAATTGGGGCAGTTCCCGGTTGAAATTTTTGAAGAAATTTTTTGAGCATCTTCTTCATTAAGTCTAGTTTCCATATCAAGTTTCAGATAAAATTTCAATCAGGAAGATAGTCAAATGATTTTCTGAAATTTACTGCGTTGATTAACTACACAGTTATCTTCAAAAATTCATTTGACTGCCTTCCCGGTTGAATTTTTAGCTGAATTTTGGTATGAGTAAACTAGACTTAATGAAGAAGATGCTAAAAAAATATCAAAAAATTCCACCGGAAACCGCCCCAATTGGCAGTGGCCGGACAGAGCCTCCTATATAAGAGGTGAATTACACTTTAAAAGTTAGTTTGAGGACTTATTTGACCCTTTAGCCTTAAAAAAAGTTACACATTCTAGTGTTCTACTAAATATAAAAAAGGTTAAAACTACCAAATTCCATGATTGAATATGGCAAGGGACAGCTTTCTGGCTTGAAGTGGAGAAGTTATTCATGAAAAGAAACGTACATAAGAATTGAAGTGGAGGAGATAAACCATTCCTTATTGAGGGAATCGATCACATATACGGAGTACATATCATCATATACCCAGTACTACGCAGTTCTTTTAGGGTCTGTTTGCAACAGCTTCTCTTTTAAAAAAGTGTTTTTTTAATGAAGTGGGGAGAAGTGATTAAATAAAAGTTGATAGTGTTTGAGAAAAAAAGTGATTTTGAAAAGTAAAAGTGGATAGTGTTTGGTAAAATAAGTGCTTTTTGTGTAATAGAAAAAGTAAAAGCATTTCTGACGCGGAAGCCGAGAAAAATAAAAGTTGTAGTGTTTGGGAAAATAAGTGCTTTTTTAAAGCCAAAAGCTGAGAACTGCTTTTTTAAAAGTAGTTGCAAACCAATATACTTTTACTTATACGCCCTCACCTACTACGCGTTCTAGACATATACGGAGTACGTAAAATATACTCCGTATGTCGTATAACATCTCTGATAAGATTGTTTAGATGAAGGCTAATGACGTTTTATTGAACCTAAATGAATATGGATGAATTCGCGGGTAAATTACAGCCAGCGGTCAGCCAGAGCATGCACTATGTCCGTATAAAGAATATTTTTTTAAAAAAATATTTTTATGTTAAAATTAAAGACTTTTAAAAATTTAAGGTCGGCAGGGGCCTAGATTATAAGTCCCCTAACTCTGCACTAGATTAATTATATATTTTTCATTAATATTTCTGTTAAGATCTAGGGTTCCATCTTAAAATGTCAACCTTGTTAGGAAGAGTAGTCCAGGATCTTAATATAACACTCTATTAAGTAGTACTTTTTAATTTACCCATGTGAGACTTAAACAATTTCAATTTTTTTCTTTCAAAAAAAGTATCAAATACTAGTACTTATTTTCAAACGTTTATTTACTAGATCGAATAAATATGTCGATATTAATCGTATATATTAAACCATCTATCATATCGATTGGATATAATTATTTCTTTAATCACTAGAAAATTCCAACGCAAGACCATGAGTGGTTGAGACGACACGGCAACATTGGGGAAGAAAGGGCAGGGTAAATGATTAATTAGAACATGAGAAAGCAGATCTATCATAATAATGATTATATTAACAAAAGAAGGAAGTTAGCGTTTAATAATGCTCATATGCGTTTGATTGGTGAAGGGTGGATTTTTGGCATCACATTAAATGATCAAATGTACTTCATTAGCAAGCTGGAAGCCTATAGCGCCCTATATATGCTGATTGCTGATTTGATGTAACAAACGCATGGAACAATGTTAATTACCGTTGCACATATGTATATAGGAAATCGAAAACGACCCCATTCTTTCCCCTCACACATGCTTTTCACAGGAGCCGGAGCCGTATACTATACACCTGGCTGTACAATGATCACTGTATAATCGGTGATAAACTTGTAATTTTTGTGAAAATCGCGAATTCTCTTAAATGATTATTTATGCATTTTTTATGAGCACCAAATCTATTCTTTTGAGTATTAGGAGCTAACAGTGAACATTAATGATATTTGCTTCATACCTTATATAACACTTTATGTTTATTATTTTTTTGTTTATTAAAAAGTCTTAAGTTATGTCTATAATCAATTTCAATTAATTTGGATATGTGAAGAAGGGGATTTTAGAGCCATATATGAGGGTTAGGATTCTTATGAAGATGGATAAATCGCTGCAGAAGGGGAAAAATCTGAAAAGAGATGGTAAAAGTTTTTGGGTAAATTTTAAATATGAAAGATTACCGAACTTTTGTTTCATCTGTGGTTTGATTGGACATTCAGATAATTTATGTCCCTTAAATTATGAAGAGGACTTAGTCTTAGAAAAAATATTTGGATCCCAACTTAGAAGCTGTTCTCTTCACTTGATCTGAATGTTTCTGATCTGAATTTTTTAAGTTCTGATCTGATCTGATCTAAATGTTTCTGATCTGATCTGATCTGATCAGAATCTTTCTGATCTGGTCTGATCTGATCTGAATGTCCCTGATCTGATCTGAATGTTCCTGATCTGATCTGAATGTTCCTGATCTGATCTGAATGTTCCTGATCTGATCTGAATGTTCCTGATCTGATCTGAATGTTTCTGATCTGATCTGAATCCTTCTTATCTGATCTGAATCCTTCTGATCTGGCCTGATTTAAATATTTCTAAAATTATAATTATAAATTTAATTTTTATTATAATAATTAGAAATGTAATTACACATATATAATTTAAATATAATTATAATTATAATCATAATTATAAAAAATTTATAATTATAATTGTAATAATTATAATAGGTATGATTATTATTATACGTATTACACTAGTTATAAATATAGCTATAATTAGAGGAAGCGGCCCAGCTCAGCTGGTCGCCGACTCACTCTCCCCTATGGGAGGTCTCAGGTTCGAAACTCAATAGGATGAGTTTCAACCTAGTTAACTTCAGGGGCCCCCCAGACCCCCTTCCACAGACGTCTCCTAGAGTAAACAAAAAAAACCTATAATTATAATTGTAATTATATTTTTAGTTATAATTATTTCTATAATTATAATTTTAATTATAATTATAATATTTATTTATATAATTTTAATTGTAATTACTCTGTGTAATATAATAATAACAAAAAAATACTAATAACAATAACAACAACAACCATAATAGTAATAAGACTAATAATAATCATGATAACAATAAAAATCATAATAATTATAATAATCATAGTAATCATAGTAATGATGATGATGATCATAATAATAATAATAATAATAATAATAATAATAATAATAGTAATAATAATTACAATAACAATAAGAATAATAATAATAATAAAAAATTAATAATAATAATAATAATAGTAATAATAATAGTAATAATAATAATAATAATTACAATAACAATAAGAATAACAATAAGAATAACAATAATAATTATTATTATTATTATTATAATTATTATTATTATTATTATAATTATAATTATTATTAATATTATTATAATTATATTATAATAAAAGGGATAAATCATGTCTGAACTTTTCTGATCTGATCTGAATGTTCATGATCTGATCTGAATGTTCGTGATCTGATCTGAATGTTCCTGATCTGATCTGAATGTTCCTGATCTGATCTGAATGTTCCTGATATGATCTGAATGATTCTGATCTGATCTGAATCTTTCTGATCTGATCTGATCTGATCTGAATTTTTCTGATCTGATCTGATATGATCTGAATAAAATAAGAATAAGCAATAAGTAATAAGATTAAGACGAACAGAACAGCTTCTTAGAGCATAATTGGCTCTTGGAGGGTTCATCGAGCTCTGGCAGAATGGGCGGCGGTCTAGGAGAAAAGAAGAAAGTGTCAATGACTGAATCAGCCCAAAGTTATACACAGGGAGGGGAGGAGCCAAAAGAAGAGGTTTCTAACAGGAGGAAGATATGGGAGACTCAGACAGAGAAGGAGCACGTGGAGGATACCATGGCTATGGATGGGGAAAAAACGGGGAGGAGACGGGCTTTGCTCCATGAGCCCGCCGAAGATGCTGGTTGAAGGTTGGAGGTCGCAAGTCAGAGGGATGGCTCGAGTGTTCTGGCTGCGACAAGAGTGTTTTTTATTGTGCTTTGTTTGATACTTCAATAATGGTTGCTTTTGTTATGGGTTTTGTTTCGTCATTTTTTTCCCAATTTGTAAGACGCTGAGTTTGGATATGGGGGATGAGAGGAATATGGTAACCGTTGTTGGCTT